TGTAATGACAGTAAAAATATAAAAACTCAGGTTTATAACAAACAGATGCTTCTAAGTTATTCCAGTTAAAAAAGGACTAGTATAGGAAGTTTCAACTGGGAACAAATGATGAAAACTCAAAAATAAGAATGCGTCCTCGTTTTTTTCTTGAAGTGTGTGTAAAAAAGAAAAGAGGGATATAATGCAGGCTACTCTTCAAGCTTTTTCACAGTCATGATATGAATGAAAAGGGGAACTCTGACTTTTTTGAGGAAGTGAGAGGCAGCAGATAGAAACATGATTGCGCCACCCTAAAAATGGAAACATGAGAGAGGAAGCGAGTGTAGAGAACCACAGGGCATAAAAGACACAGCGTAGGGAAGTAGGCTGCTGCATGTCAATCAAAAAAAAAAAAGAAAAAAGAAAAAGCTGCGAAACACTAGGCGGAGGAGTCTTAGAGCTGTGATGCAGGGAGGTGTCGAGAGAGGAGAGAAAAGAGAGACAAGAATGAAAAGCTTTGTGAAACTCTGCCATGGAAACAGCGACAAGCACATACACATTAACGTGGACAGACACAAAAGCAATTCCAGTCCAGATCTATTAATGTTATATACTGAAGCATCAAAACAAGAATAAATTAATCACAGAGTCCTTCTCCAAGAAGAAACTGTTGTTTCTGGCACTGGACAGACTGTTGGATACTGTGCCAGCAGGAGGAAGTGTTTATCAAGAGTGGGGGCCTAAGGACGACCAGTTGGTCTGTTCATTTTGCATATCTTATCAATCTTTGAGACAAATCTCCCTCTTCTATAACGTACAAACACTGAAATATCTTGAATGCGTCTTGTTCCCTTTAAGATAAAAAGAAAATCCCACTTATATTCAATGACATTTACAGAATAATTACTGGATCTGCTTCCTGTGTCAATCTGACATACTATTTACACTCTTTCAGCACAACTTTGTGAAGTGATAATGTTTCAAAGATTTTCTGAGTTGTTTGCGGCCCTTGTCTTCACTCTCAGCGGGAGTCTTCAGATTCTCAGCCTGCTGGTGAAGAGTTATAATTACTCCCAGCTTGTGTTCATGTGGGTGGTGGGAATCAAACGGCAAATACTGATCAGTGTGAGTGGGTTTCCTGTTAACTTCAATTTTCAAGCTGGACCCCTGACTCAATCTGGTACAGTCTAAGGCCTGAAGAAAGACAATGTTTCTTTAAATCTACTTATGTAAATGTGATGCTGTTGGTGCTGGATAAAGAGATGCAGCCCATAGCTCTTCTTTCTATTCCCTTCATATCAATATCTGGAAACAAGGGCGCAAGCACATACTTGATTAAACTCCATCAGGAGGGCTCTTAAAGATCCAGCCTGCTTTAGTCTCTTACAGCCGCAAACACATTTTAAATTCAATCCTGACCTTAGAAGTTTGGCTATATTCCACCCATTTCTTATTGTTAGCTTGTCAGGTTAATATTACATTGGCTATTTCATATTTGTATTTTTTTCCTCTGGGTGTTGCATACTTATTTGCAAGATGACAGAGTGCTGTCAAAGAGAGACACATATTCCCCTCAACTAAATATATTACGGTTGGGGTGACTGCTGGGCTTTCATGTTTTATGTATTCATGCACCTAATGTTAGTTGGATTATTTCTTAGTGTTGTTTATTTAGTGTATGTTTTCAGCTGCAAACAAATTTCCCAGTGGGGACAATAAAGATACCATTGACCTTTGCTCTTTGGCTCAGTAGGTCGTCTCACCAACAGGAAGGTCGGGGGTTCAATCCCAAGCTCCTACAGCAACATGTCCGATGTGTTCTTGGGCAAGACACTTAACCCCAATTTGCTCCTACTCCTTTGGCGGTGGCGTATGAATGTGTATGAATGGGATTAGTTACTTCACTGGTCCCTTTACATGGAAACCTCTGCCACCTCTCAGTGTGTGAATGGGTGGATGTGACCTGCGGTGTAAAAGTAGCTTTGAGTAGTCAGAAGACTAGAACAGCGCTATATAAACTCAAGTCCATTTACCATTTACTATGGTTTAGGACAGAATTGAGTAAGACCTCCTTCAGTATGCTGCACCCATTATGTGGAATGATTTTCAAACTGGAGCTTAGCTGTCCTCCCTGATATCATCTCATGTTTTCAAAGAGGTAAAGCAGAATTGCTCTAGAAAAACACTTTTTTTAAGGTGGGCAAACATAGAGGGGGGCATTTAGTTTACAAGTCTGTTCATGTTTTTATCAATGTATACCAAAAAATGAAAACAATAACTGTAAGACTGTTTTAGATTTTTTTAGACATACAGCAAAGGGCCGGGTTTGGATTTGAACCCACAGACACTGCAATGAGGACTATAGCCTCTGTACATGGGGTGCAAGACAAAACCACTAGGTTTAGAGGCCCAGCCTCACATACTCACACTCGGTCAAATAGCATGATTCACTTACTAATGGACTCCTATTTACTGTATCTTGTGTTGCTTTTGTCTTTTACATGTGATGTGATCGTGATGTGAGGACAGGTGAGTTTGTTATACTAGACACATTTCTGTGTAAACAGACAATACATTTGTATCCTCTCTTTCAGTTTGTATCTCTGGTTTAAGATCATCTTATATGAGAGATTCAAAACTGGTAAGTATTTTAGCTTGCATTAGCTAGATAGCCAACTGGTTGAGTTGAAGCTTTCTGAAAAAGATGAGGAGAGGAGATGAGAGGAGAGGAGAGGAGAGGAGAGGAGAGAGGATCCTGGGTCTACTAACTAAACCAATAGCACTTGAGGAGAACACTGCGTTCCTGGCCCACTTCCCATGCCACTTGACAAGTCCAGAGCGTGGACAGGTGGTGTGGGGATGGTGCTGGAAACGTATCATGGGATGATGCCCAGTGGCCATGTGGCATCGCCCGCTCTTCGTATGGAACAAGAAGAGTCTGCATGCCCACAATGACCACAGCAATGAGTCACTTGCACTGCCACTTCCTGCCAAAGTGGATCAGAGTGAGTGCGGCTACTGGTCAGGGCAGGGCAAGAGGAGAACATTTGATGACAACTTTCGTAGCGAGGGAAAGCCTTTGAGTGAAACACAAGATTCCCAACAAGCAGCCAAGAGGAGATCAGACCAATTTATTCAACAACAAGCAAAAGGATGCAACTCAAATCACAACAGAGAGTAACCAATATGCCTTAAGATAGTTTTTGCAATTACCAAACTGCTTTCACAGATGGAAATGAGAGTGTACAATCTAAGGCTTAATGAATTGTAAAAATGCATCCACTTGTTGACAAGACTTGACTTGTTAATGAGAATGTTTGAGTGTATGTGTGTGTGTGTGTGTGGGGGGGGGGGGGGGGGGGTGGGTTGAGTGAGTACTGTAATGCATGGCATCCTGTTAAGTAGCAAACTAAGGAAAATGAAGATTTGCCCAAACCCGCAATACCCCGAGTGGCCGCTTGAGGCTAGCCACAAAAGTAATTCCATCTCCATAAGGCCCCACATCAAAATGCTAAACTTGGCAGAAGGAATGAACGTCTTTACAGGTACAAAGGACACTTTCGGTGACTCTGGCTATTTTTTCATTCCTAACAGCAGTACGGGGGTTGAATTTTTATGTTACCCAAAATATATTAAAAAAGGCTCATAGTCATGCATAATCAGGGGTGCACTTGATTTGAGTGATGGATAACGAGATGGCTTGCCATGTGTTTGGTGTTATCTCAACTGATTCAGTCACTGATGTCACCATCTGGGCCTTGTTTTTGTTGTTGGTGCCATTTGGGGATTTTTTTCATTTCAAACAAATATTGACCAAATAATATTTGCTGCAAAGTTTATTTTGTGCTGCAGCTGCTCTTCCTAATGTGGTAACTTCTGGCTCAAATGGCCTAAATGATCAATCTGAGGCTTTAAAAGACTGACTAATGGATGACTTCAAAATGGCTTTGTCCAAAAGTTATACAGTCTATGGTTTCAGCTTCAACATTTAAGGGTAGAATTCAACTTTATGTACCAGACAAAGCAGACCGCAGCTAAAATAGAGAATAGAAAAAGGGAAGGTAACGCAGATGATTGAAGATTTACTGAGAAGCTTATGAAATTGGCATAATTGACAATTATGGGTCAAATAAGAGGCCCTCTCTTTTAAGTCAGTTCTAATTTGGTGCCTGTAAACAAACAAGTTAAAAATAGAAGCTGTGTTGGCCAAGTAATACCTTCTATGAAAGCAAAAAAAGGGTTAGTTGTAATCCTTTGGATTAATGGATTTGACAAGGGCATGGGCCTGGTGTAAGTAACAGAGGCCAGATTACATGTAGATAAGGCTGTGGCAGGGTGATCTGCAAGTGCTCAACCCTTTCACCAAAAAAAAAATACTGCATGTGTCAGCAGAAATCACAGCGTTGGAGAAGTAGTGATCTCACAGAAAGTAAAAAGCAAAGTAAAAAGCTAAGAGTAAAACAAATATCAAGGCATCTATTTGGATTAGATGGTTTTGTACATTTCTGATAGTGTCACAAGCAACTAGATTAACAACAAATTCACAGCAAAAGTTGAGTGGATTTTCAGCACTGAACTCACAAAGACTGAAATATTGACAGATGGGAGAGCTGAAATCTTTTCCACATGCAAACCAAGAGAGATTGGGACAACTCGGCGCTCCCGTCATGCAAGTCAATTCAAACAGTCAGAGTGAGGGAAAGGTTTAGCTCTGGGTAAATCTGGCCTAGATTAAAGAGGTCTCTCAACTGTTCCTCAAATGAAGCACGGGATAATCATATTAAGCATCATATGGGCTTCAAGTATTCAATGTGACGTCATCATCATTCTAAGCTGGAACTATGGTGGCATGTGCCGGCACACTGTAGCTAAGGCAGTACACGCTTAGACACACACACAAACAAACACATAAGTTTGGACAAAGAGTGCACAGAGAGAAAAGGAGCAGCTTTTTATGCCAACAGTGACAGTGACAGTAATTGAGGGATATGTGTTTGGGGGGGAAAGGGAAACAGACTCACCGTGGCAAGCTCATCAAACTTTCCAAACAGCTCATTCAGCAGTTTAACCAGTTCCTGTGCTGTGCACTGCGAGGCCAGGCAGGTGAAACCCACTATATCTGCAAACAGGATGCTGTAACACAGTGAAAAAGAAGCGTTTGAGTCAATGCATGTAATTAATCAAATAATGTTTCACTTCAAGCCAGTTTGACATCATGTAATAATGTGGGATGCCTGTCAGGGTCAACATTGACAAATTTAGAAAAATGGCTACGGAAGGCTGGCGTTCTCTCCTCCACCAGCTAACACCCGCTGGCATGATTGGATTATTAGATGATTGTGGGTGTGGATGACTGAGGCAGACATGAACGAAGGCATGAATGAACTCTGAAAGGTAATGCATTGTGATGCTGGGTGCATACTGTAAGAAGGAAAAAAAGAGACATTAGGGAAGAAACTTGAGCTAAAGTGAATCTTTAACACTCTGCTTAGATTATGTGTTTCTAGCTAACTAATCACAGTACACATTAATGACCTACAGCAGCAGATAAACTAAAAACAGACAGAGAAGGAGAGCCTGTACTCTTAACTGACTGACAGCTCAGTCAAGCAAAGAAACTCAAAATAGCAGCAGGAGCATCCTCATGGGGATGAAGGTGGAGACATGTCCTGTTCGGAGCCAGTCAGGAACTGTTCGAGGTTAATGCAGCCCTCAAGGTGCTGTTACCATCTCCAGGTGAACTTGCTTTCCCTATTGAAAGTTTGTATAAGATTCAAAGGCCTTTAGACTTAAAATAAAAAATGGAGAAAGCATCATACATGTCCTTGGTGTTTGATTGACTTGAGTACTGATGTGGTAAGAGTAATAATTACCATAAATTAGATATGCTTATTTTAATTGACAATGCACCCGTTGGTGTTTATGAATCAGAAAAATTGATTAGCAATTACGTAAAGTCGTTTCTGCATTTTGCATGAACAAGATAGGCCTCTACTTTCCAAACATCAGCTGGCTAGCGTTAGCAAACAAGCTTCTAGGTTTCAAGTTTTGGCTTTAATTAGAGCAAATGGGAATCTGTCTAAACAGGGGGGAAAACAAATGAATCTGAAAGCTCAGTTATCATCAGACTTCACATTTTTCTAGTCCCTAGCTAAGTTAGCCTAGCTTGCAAGCTCTTGCATCACCTTTCTTAGACTTAGAAGGAATACCAGCCCTCATGTGTTTAACACTTCCATGGTAAATGCCCCCATGTATCTTTGACAGTTTCCACAAATATGTTCCCCAAATGGTTTTATCCTTTTAAAGAATGTTCATCGCCCTTTTGTTGTTGACTGGTGTTTTAATGTGCTCCTTTTCCAGCTGAGGGACAACTCAGATTTAAGTTTCAGATGACTTTATTTATCCTAGAAGGGCAATTCATTTTCACAGCTTATTAAAAGAAATCAAGACAATATCAGGGAAACAAACACAGCCACAACAGCATTCGACAATTGCATTAACATGCCAGTAACAACAGATCAGCAGACGAACAGGCTGCCAAATAAGAAGCCAGATCCAAAAAACATACAACTCCACAAAAGGTCACATATTATCCTCCTTTTCAATACGTTTAAATAAGACTCAGAACTCCCCAAAACACATGTCTGAAGTTTCTTTCCAAAAATCCACTCTGATCCTGTATTTTATCATGCCTTTATACCCCCTCTATTTCAGCCCTGCTCAGAACAGGCTTTTACTGTGTCTGTAGATGCGAGTGAGCTGTGTTCCACCAGACCCCTCTAGAAGGGCCTGGGTAGCTTGCCTTTGCACCATTCCCTATTGTTTACTGTGAGAAGAAGGACTCAGAGGATGTACAAATACCTAGCTGTGGGAGTGTCACCCACCTGTGGGAGGGGTAACTGCCCTTCATGATGTCACAGAGGGAAAATCTCCAAACGGCCTGTTTGAGCACACGTTTTGGAGTGGAGATGGTAAAAGTCAAAGAGGATGGACTTTTCTCATAATTGGGGGGTTTGTAGACGGACTAGGGACACGTATTAGTGTAAGAAAAACATGGTTATGTGTATTTTGCATAATACGTGAACTTTAACAAATGGATAAATAAATGAAAGGCCTTACAGGTTACCAAGTGTACAGCAACTGACCATAAATCAGTTACAGCTGTTGAGCATTTAACAGAGTTAAAGTATCTGTTTCTACTCAGAGGAGGAGCTAGATAGCGCTGTCCAGAGGGAATTTAAGAAAAGACTGTGTCCAGGATGATTTATTATCACTTTGGCTTTCTGGACCACACGTTCCTTCCACAGGGAGCTTAAAGGGATACTTCACCCATTCGCATTAAGCTTTGTATCATTAGAAACCTGGTAGTATTTTTGAATGGTCATTTTCGGGGTGGCATGTCAGCTCACACTGTACGACTGAATCGTTTACGACGCCCGACCAAACCTTGCTCACACTGTACGACCCGATTGTCAAACACGGCCGGAGAGCTGAGTGAACGAGTGAAATCGGGACGGAGCGTTAACAATTGTTAATAAAGTTTCATTTGAAAACTCCAACGGACGGCGGTTGGTGAAAGAGAAGGAAGTGAAAGCTGTTGTAGGATAGAGGAAAGTAGATACATTAGTAGATATATGGATACAAGTTTCAGTAAAGTGCTGCACTGATGATCTGTAAAAACGCTGGGTTGCGTCCTGCTATGGTCGCCATGACTACATTCCTCCCTTGTCTCTCGTGATTATATTGAACTCACACACAACTTCTGCCAGATCCTTTCACCACTACAAGATAATCTGAGCAGATAATCAGGTCCGAGCAGCCTTGAGTTGGGAGCGACCCTGAGAGTGTCGGGAAGGAAGAATCAGAGCTCAAATCGGCCCGATTATACTGCAGTGTGAGCCAGGCTTAAGTCTGAAAAGGAGCTTCCGATGACGCAAAAATAGCCATTTTGCGTCACTGGAAGCTGTTGCGGTTAGCAGGGTGAAACTACAACGCAATTTTCTCATATTTTCGACCACTGAAGCTACAGACCAATCACAGATCAGTGGGTGGGAACTCACTCCCAGAATTGAAACTTAACGTCCGCCATATTGCTTGGAAGCTATGCTAACAGGCTCTATGGTAAAAGCTGATAATGGAAAAAATATATAAATATAGCGGCGGGACGGCTGCTGCCGACAGGCCGGTATTGTGTTTTGGCTGCTGCGGCGGCTGGGGCCACCGGGGCCACCTTGACACAAGACTGGATCAGTTGAGGAAATGGCCTGATGTGTTGAAGTAAATGTGTCTGTAAACCTGACCTTAGTGGGAGTGGCCTGTGGTGCTGTGCATTCTGGGATTTGGTGTCTTTCATCCACGAGTCAAAAAGACACTTTCTGACTTTTCTCGGCCAAGAAGGCACCAACTTAAAAATGTATTTCACATTTCTACTACATATGACCCAATGTCAGTACAGATTCATGTTTCAACGGGTGAAGTATCCCTTTAAGAAGCAACAGCAGAGCAGTAATCATCAGAGCACTTAACCAGATAGCTGCTGTCTTCTGAAGTTCTACAGCTTTCTGTGTACGTAACAAAAAGCAGGGGGATAAGGACACAGCCCTGAGGAGAACAGTTGTTTTGACATTATAGCCTTGGACATGTGACCATTCACATTATGTGAAAACCTGCTGAATTCTGTCTGTTAAAACGTAACATTAAAATATGACCAAGCAATAGAAAATAATAGGTTAGTCTCTCAATTTAAATATGAGGCTGCATCTTATTAACAGCTGAAGAAAAGTCAGAAAATGAATGAAAGATTGCATGTGAGTTCAAGGTGCTTGCAAAAGTGAAGAGCTTTGCATCGTCCAGACTTTGTTATCAATTTGCATATTCTCGGTTCTGGTTCTTTCAGAACAGGTTCTTTTCCCGAGAAGGTTGTGCCCTGGATAATGTTGAGGATGGAGGTTGAGAAGAGGATTAGTCATCAAACTCTACCTGTCCTGTACAACAAGAATGTCTGCGGCGCTCACGTGGGCAAGACTTTTCCCAATATCAAGTCGTTAAGTGGCAGGGGAAGCTGCTAAAAGTCAGATGTTGACTTAATGGGGGGCAATGAATTTGATTTTTGTAGATGTTGTAAATGGCATTCATCGGCAGCTGACAAATATTCAACTAATGTTCTGGAGAACAATTTGAAGTTTAATCAAGATTGAATTAAAATGTAATGATGAAATAATGTATTTCATATAAGTAGACAAAGTAAAATTCCAAAGTAAAATGACATGAGTGTAGACCAGCAACCAAAGCAAAAATTCTGTTTTATTCATGATTCAGATCATCAGTTTTGTAAACTGTAAATGAGCTGTCATGAAAAATAAACTCCTCTACATATTCCTTTTACAGTCTCTAGCCTTTTGTAGCTCCTATTAAAGGGCCAAACTGTTAGCTCAGACAAACAAATTGTAAAATGAATTTCAATGTCTCATCTGCAGCATTCATTTAAAAGCCATCTTGAAATGTGTATAGGAGTTCAACAGGGAGATTAGTAGAACAAAAATAGAAGTAACCAACTGTCAGGGCTTTGTTTTCTCCTCCTCTCTTGACTGTCTGTGTGTCTGTGTCTGTGCGTCTTGTGGGCGTGGCTACCTGATCTGAAACCTGGCACATCTCCATACCTGTCTGCTATCTACTCATCAAGCCACAGCTTATGTACTTTAGCTCTCCTTCCACACAGTCGACACAACCGTTTCTCAGTCAACACTTAAGCCTTCCTAATTTCATCTGCTCACAAGACAACTGTTTAGCTTGTGAAAACACTGCTGATTATTACAGAGTTCTGTTTTTGTGAAACAGCACAGTTACTCTTCCATCTCTAGGTGTAGTGGCTTACATGTGATCTCTCACTGTTTGATGTAATGATATTCCACACACGGTTTAGAAAGATGCTGCACATGCTGTCAGACTCCGGTAAAATGTAAAATACTGCAATAATGCTACCTTTCGGATTGGTTGATAAGACTGAGGCATGTGAATGTGAATGAAGTGAAAAAAAACAGTCGTTATGTGCTGCAGAGACTGTCCCACTGAGTGCAAGCACTCTGCCGTCTCATGACCTCACCTGAACCTCAAAACACTCAGTTATTTTTGGTCAGTGTTTACCTCATGCAGACCACATGCATAGCCTTGACTTTCAAGTTGAAGCAAGCATGGAGCATGAGGCCTGTGCCTGGTCAGGAATCACAGCATTGAACCACTAAAAGAATGGCTTTCATTGAAAGAAATGCAGTAAAATTGAACTACTTTTCTCATTCCTTGAATAACTCAGATAAAGATATCTATTTTACATCGTGTAACATTATTATTTGAAATATTGTATATTCTATTTGTATGTATTGTGGCATCAGCTTAGGTGAACAGCTTTGCTCTGCTTGGGCACATTTGGGTCAAAGGATGCTTGATGTCCATGGGACTATTTATTCAGATCATAAAATGGTAATATTAAGTATCTAATCTGGGATTATATGTTGAAAAACAGAAGGTTACTTGCTCATAAGTAACCTTTGGGACAGGTGCAATAAATCAAAAAAGAAAAATATGACTGTCTGATGCTGAGCTAGCAGTGAACAACCCAAACATGTGGTGCAGAAGTCCGCCACATAGTGTTACTTTTAAGATGTGTTTTCATATCGTTCTTTTTCATTGTATGTGTGAAAAATCTATAATTTTGAAATTTACAGTCACTGTAGTTGACATACTGTAGATGTTTGATATAGTTATAACTGTTTTTTTTATAAAAATGATTAAGTCCATGTAGAAGGCATCATGTCATAAGGAGTTGGAGCTCTGGGAAGCCCAGAAATCCCAGACTGGAAACGTCTGTAAGAGACATTGAATGACTTCCAGCAAATCAGTCAAAACAAACTCTGCAGCTTCCTGGCAACAGCTGGAAGTGACTCGGGCTCCAGCTGTTACACTGTACTGAACTAGATTCACTGCTCAAGGTCATAACCTTATCCCCAACTCATCCTCTGCAGCTCTACACTTCTAAAGAATAAGCAATGTAATACAAACAGAATATTTCCCCTGGTAACTCAAACCTGCCTAATATCTAATATTGTCTTCCTCCCCCTCAGCCTCATCCATTATTTCTTCTCCAAAGGCACATATTCATGAAAAGTTATTCCCTCATTTATGCTCAGATCCTGTTTCTCTCTGTGGAAGGTATTACTGGAGCTATTTTGGCAGATGTGATTTTTATTTAATTACACATTGGAAGACAAATGAGCCACGTGCCAACTCAAGGGTTAACTCTGGATGGGCCCCTCTGGAGCCTCAGTATGTGGGCGGTGTGTGTGCTGACACTGGGTCAATAAAGTGGGGTAGCACCAAGGATTGTGAAAGGTGCTTGCAGCATATTACAGAAGCTTAAACTTCTCATAATATCGATGGCAAAGTAGGTCAACCTATAAACAGATTGACGAAGATGAAGTTTTCTGATTTCTTCTCAATGAAATCATGTTTACAATAACTGTTGAGGGTAAATTAATAAAAGTTAATTTGCTGGTCATTTTCTTATTGTATTTTTTAACATTTTTGCATTTATTGATAGGACAGCTGAAGGTAGACGGGATATGTGGGGAAGAGAAAGAGGGGAAGACATGCATCAAAGGTGGCCAGGACTCAAACCTATAACTGATGTGTAAAGAATACAGCAGCCGTTAAAGCGATGCAATAAAGTAGCCAACAATACTGAGACCATCAGAAGTAACTAATCCCATTCATACGCTGCCGGGGTTAAGTGTCTTGCTCAAGGACACATTGGACATGTTGCTGCATTAGCTGTGGATTGAACCCTTGACCTTCCTGTTGAGAGACGATGACTTTACCAACTGAGCCACAGCCATCCCACCTGTCAATCACAAGAAGCCCAGCCTAAAAGAATACCTTGCTTTTCTGTCATTTAACTCTTTAAGGGACAATCATTTAAAAACGTTTCTTGTTTCCAAGACATGATCCTATCCAGTTTCATAAATCAGACCACTGCCAGTGGAATCTCCCCATTGGCTACTTTAAATTCCTAAAAACAATTACAATTTAAAATAATAAGGGAATACATTTTTCTAATATAAGGTTTAAACTATCATATCTTTGTAAGTTTAGGAGTCATTTTTGATTTTGTTGTTGTTGTAATCATTACATTATCCCCCTGGCTGGAATTTAATTAGATCAAAGACTGCCCACAGACTCAGAAAATAATGAAGAAAACTCACAGTTGTTTGTGCTGTGCACTGTTTACTTTTTAATTACCCTCCACCCAAATCACTTAAATCATGTCTGCACCGGTCTGCACCCATTGTAGATCACTCTCAAAGGGTGGCGCTATCTGAAGCAGTTTAAGGCACAAAAGCAATCAGCACAGCTCCACTGAGATGTTTCCATATTTAACCACAGCGGGCGCACACGCACACGCACACACACACACACACACACACACACACACACACACGATTATGCAACAAGAATTTAGTCTCGATTGCATTTAATCCCCTGCAGCAACTTAATCCTGGGGCTGAGCAAACTCTGCTCCTCAAGCCTCCCTGCTGCTTGGAAAACTCAGAGGACAAGAAAGGAATGAAGAGAAGATATGGAAAGTGAGGACTGAAATGGTGAGGAGCGTGATGAAGGAAATAACGCAGTCACTAAAGCTAATTATGAAAGGAGGAACTGATCGCCATGCTTTAAGCACACTATTTGCAGACAAAGTGATAAAGGTCAATCCCAGTAACAGGGGACAAAGTTCATGACCCATATTCACGTTTTGTAAATAAGTGCATTTACCCAATTATTGTAAATAAGAACAATTCAGTCGTACTTTTAATTTACCTGTGTATTTAAATTATCCACTTATATTACAGCTTCACTCCTATAGAGTTAACTAACTAGTTATATAAAATGAGCTTCCTCTGGACTGGCTTAGGTGTAAAAATCAGCTTTCATATGTGTAATACTAGTGAAGTATTAATAATACATGCAGGTGATTCTGCAGCACAATAACTAATTTAACCTTTGAATAATTGGATATAACTTTCAGAATGCCTGACTTTAACTCATACTGTGGTTGCAGCAGTGGTATTGTTACTGTTCTTCTGGTTAAATGAGCCGAATACTTTCATGCAGAATATATTATAGCAGCCCAAATCAAATAAACAACAGCAAGCCATTATTATGTTCAAACACTGAAGGGCTGCTGTATCCACAAACAGTGGACAAAAACGGATTAAACCCTGGTTTGTTTGCTGGAAGAAGGGTTGAGTCAAAAATTGCTCGGAAGGAGGAGAGAGGATGATCGGAAGAAGAGAGGGAGGATAATAACTGAAACAGAACTTCCTCTGAAGAACTCAGTATTGTTTAAAAACCATTTAATTGCATTAAGATATGAAGATTGTGTAGCCCTAAGTGTTCCAAAGAAGACGTTTAGTGAACTGATGTTCTTCTTTAACACAGCAATGTAGTGAGATAGTGTTTATGCCACTAAGCAGGATATTTCCATGAGGAAAATAGTGTCTCCAAATGCAAGTCCTGAGGTGGTATTGGTTAAGTCTTTTCACAGTTAAGAGAGGTTTAAATATCACTGGAGCCTTCAGTTGTTTTGTGTTGTATGCATTTGAGGATCCTACCTGACATTGTCATGGCGCTGGATGTAGATTTTGTGAAAGATCCTTTCTGGGGGCTTCAGGAAATCCTCTTTCATCTCCATAGCTACGTTCCTGGGCAACAGACTCATTAGCAGGCGCTCCTGGGTGTTTGTATGTGTGTATGTGTGTGTGTGTTGAGGGAGAGGGATAAAAGAAGTTTAAATTCACATGAATACAATCAGAAACATAAAGCTATCACAGGACAAAGTGTTAGTGGGGATAATAAATGTGTGAGACAAAAAAGGCAACAAATATAACAGAAATGAATAATGTGTTGAAATGACTCACTGCAAAAGGGGGCGGGAGGGGGGTGGGGGGGAGGGGGGGGGGCAGTGGAGAAGAGAATAAAAAAGGGACACACATCTCATTTTCAAATGGTCTAAGCACAGGTGCCATGTGTACCTGTTTCTCGTTCTCGTCCTCCATGCGCAGTCTCTCTTCGATGCAGTTGCGCGCCTGCAGGAAGGCCTTCCTCTGGGCTCGTTCTGTAAGGATGCGCACAAACAGGCCTGACAGGTTGACACTGGTGAAAAGCACTGTGTTCGCAACCAACTGCAAATAGAAAGAAACGAGAAAGTTTAATAAATAAATAAAATAAATAATTTGTGTTACCTTGTAATCACAGAGTCATGTTGATGTTATATTGGTATTGTTTGATTGTACAGCACTTGTGCTTTATAAATACATTTGGATTGGATAGTCCATGTTTTTTTATTTTGTATGTCCTTATTGGTGCAAGTATGCTCTTGGGTTTATGTTTACACTGATATACTGTATGTACACATGCATGGACATTGCATACAGAACATTGACCCCTAATGCTAAGGGTCAAACTTTTGTTTACTTACTCCATAGTGAAGTTAAAGTAGCGTTAAGTTGGTTTTCTACATTTCTTGTAGGTACCTTCAAAAATGTTATAGATCTGAATTGCCTTTTTTTTTTAACTTACTGTTACATTTTTTGTGTATTTTATGTGTATATATCATTAGTTTGCTATATATGACATATAAAAACAACACTTTTTAAAAAGCTTTTAATATGTACAGTTTAGTTTCTCACTCCGTTATGTGTGCCTTAAGTTTGATTGTTTTGTACGTGTATCTGTTTATTTCTTACTGGGTTTAATTAAGTTGTATTGAATTTAAGAACAATTACAAACATAACTTTATACTGTTACATTCAGAGTATACACTGTACAGACACAGTTGTATTATTATCCTTATCACAGGTTTCACAATGCCAATTCAGACTAAATCAACAACAAACACTCTCCTGTATGACAGATGGATGAGTAGGTGGTGGATCCTAATATATTGTTTTTTTGTGACAAAAATATCTGACGATCTGTGCTCCAGATCATCCATCACAGCAGATGCACGGCAGCTTGACTGTTTTAACCTTGTGCAGGACACAAAGAGAAAAGTGTTTTTTTTTTTCTACTTCACTGAAGTCGTCTGGCTGTGACTTTTTTTACACAAACCAAACAAGGTCCTGTGTTCACCTCTAAGCTGAACACTAGCAGGCTGTCATCTTGTGCAGTAATTATTTATTCTTCAGAATAAAGGAATTTATTTTCCTCTCATCCTGGGTCACTCATCACGAGTGTCACAAGCAGAGTTGACTATCGAGCACATTTGACCTCAAGAGAAGCCATAACAAATGTCCCTTTAACTCTAGAAATAAATAGTAATTTCAGTTCATTCATGAGAACGATAAATACACTGTCAAAGCTTCATATGGTATGCACACCACTTCTCACATTTAACAAACATCTATTGCCACAGACAGGAATGTTTCCCAGTGTATGAATAATGGATCGCCTTGAAAATACTTTTTTCCTGGCAGCAGCCGTCTGTCTTTGTGCTCAGCATCAGAGCTGGCAAGTTCCAACACGTTCAGTTGATGCTCAAGTTACTTTACAGCCTTCAGTTATTAAAAGTGGACATCGGAGTGGTGTGGGGTAAAAACACTCAGTCTCTGCTTTCTTGCCTTAAGATGCAAAAGATTGACCATATTGCAATGAATTCACTCTAACAGCTCCATATAGTTTTTCAGTCAGAAATACTTTGATTCACTTTCATTATGTATAATAAAAAATGTTTCAAAAGGTGTTAAATGCATACCTGAAACGCTGTATTGTTCAATCACAATACAAGCTTTTCATTTACGTTAATAGTCTTCAATAAAATGTTAATGGGCAGCATAAAAAGCCCAGACTGTAATAGTTATGTGATGTGACTGATTGATTGAAAAGTGTTATTTGTTCATCTAAACATGCAAGATTGTGAAGTGTTACCACAAGAATCACATGTTATTACTCTCAACTCATTTTGGATCAATTCAGTTTGGCATAAATATGGATGTTCCATATAAGTACATTCATTAGAGGCCAAACAGTTACTTTATCAACTTTAATCTGGCCCCAAATAATTTCTAATAAAATGATAAAATGTGCTTTTAAAATACGGTATGTTCATTTTTATTCATATCTTCCATGAAAATGTTGCCTCAAAGCACAGAGCTTATACTAACGTCTGAGTATTAGAAAGTTGTCATATTATCAGCATGTTATTTAATATTTATGTCTATTGTTATGCAGATAGATGCATATTTTAGTCAAGCTTTTTAACCAAGAGATGTAAGTCTAATTTTAAAAAGATGCTGATTGCAACCTCAGGTTTCCAAACACATCCACCTACTGCTCTCTGAGATTAAAACAGTGCACTGCTAATACATTCAAATTCATAGCTTTATTTCAGTCTGAGATGGAAAATGTTATTGCCCAGCCCCTTGGCACTTCTACTTTTTCAAATTTGACTCTTCCAAAAACATTTATTGGACCTAATATATATTATTTACAGATGCCATGTAAAACATGTTCTGCCTTTAAACTATAGGACAACGTGAATATTTTTTTAATAAGCTGGCAAATACAAATAACTTATTTATCAAGTTGTATACTCCAACGCCCTTGCCTCAGGAAAAAGGTATAGAAAGTAGACTGAGCCATGACAGCCAACAGCTCCGCAGGCTGAGTGCCTGGGACCTAGGTGGGTGGTTAGTGCAAGCCTCGGCTGCACAGGGTCATGCCACACGGCTCATCTCTAAGCTTAATGGATTAGCTATCTCTGGTAGTACAGCTAACACTGTCCTTCACATGGCTATGCAGGTATCACATAGCCTACATACAGGGAAAACAATCTCCTCTGCAAATACCGCTGTCATCGACCGAGGGCCATGATGAACTGATCACATCTCAATTTCCAAGAAAATGCACAATCTTCACGTCATGTGCTGCACCGAGGCAGAGACAGAAATGTTCCATTACCCCAGGAGGGTTTGACTGATGTGACATATCTTTCCTCCTCACACCTGATGACAGTCAAAAATATGAATGTGTGAGTGTGTGTGTGTGTGTGTGTGTGTGTGTGTGTGTGTGTGTGTGTGTGTGTGTGTGTGTGTTTCACTGTGACAGTAAAAGGTACAGAGATATAAATGTACAGAGAGCACTGTACCAATTTCTATTTTAGCTCAAGGAATGGCATGCATGACTCTGCCCTCTTTCTTTCTTTTTTTTTCATAACAGAAGCATATAGTGAAGGGTGTGTGTGTGTGTGTGTGTGTGTGTGTGTGTGTGTGTGTGTGTGTGTGTGTGTGTGTGTGTGTGTGTGAGAGTGCCCCTCTGTATGCCCTACTTCTCGTGTTAGCAGGATGTCACTGCTTCTTCATTCCCAGCCAGCTCCTTTGGGGACTGAATCACATCCACAGGGAAACAAACATGGGCATGCAGACTGCTACGCTCATTCATTTGTCCATCTTTGTTTTCTTTTTAAGGGGGCTACAGGTACGCAATCGCGCATGTATATAGATATAAAATAATACATCATTACTTTGCTCACTTATTGGCTACTATGAGGTAGATCTGTCACACTAATAATATCTGTGCTGTTCTAAGTGTTTAACTTGGTTGAGAAAAAGTGTTCATGCAGAAATGACTCACTTTGAGTTTGTCCACCACATGCCTCTATGTTCAAATCAAACAGCTCATTTAAATTCTTCTTTTATAGTTGTGTTTTCCATTACATAGCTTCATTTATATCACAAAAATAACAAAAACAGTCCTTGGCAGAATAACACTTGTGTCAAATTTGATCAAAGCCTGAGTAAATCCCATCAAGTCTAACCACAGGGAGCTGTCCTTGGTGCTGAACCGGAGTTTTTATAATTTGTTTCTCGCCATCGGCCAATGTATTTACTTAATGTACTGTATATAGCCTATGTATAGATTAAGTTAAATAGTGATAATTAAAACCCTATTGATTGTGGGGTAAAAAAAATATATATATATTTATATATATATAAAACACATACGCACCGTTCTCCATAGTTTCTGTGTCTTCATCGTGACAGAGGTGGCGGTCACAATCAGATGCGAGATGGACACCATTATTCCCAGCACCACCGCCAGCAGAGTCCGCACAGGTAGGAGCGCATAGGCGACGAAGGTGACCAGGATGAGCTGCCACATGCCCTGCTCCGGGGACGTTGGCGGGTCCACCCCCATCGCGCCCAGGGAGAAAGGGCAGCATAGGAAGGAAAAGGTGAAGCCGAAGAGCAGCGTCAGGTTGACAATCTGCTGGAGCTGAGTCACCTGCAGGTACTTGACGTTAGTTACGATGAAGAGAGACACGAAGATCACACAGTGCACCGGATGGGACCCCTTAGAGATGGTGAGGCTGGGGACGGACAGCAACTCCACCACGGCCAGTGTGGAGGACATGACGATGAGCACGGCCAGGGCTTTTAAAGTGGATGTCTGCTCCAGCTTCAGGTTGTAGTTCTGGAAGAGAGACTCGAGCTCCTTGCAGTCGAACTCGTCCTCGCACACGATGGTGGTCAGAGGGACAGCCTTTGGGCAGTGACTTCTCTTCCGCCTGGTTTTGACTTTCTGAAACGGTACTTCCTCCATGTCAGTGCCATTCATAAACTGAATACCCGCTCACAGCTTGGGGTCAAACGAAACACACCGGATCCCGGAGCAAACGATGGGGGAAAAGAAGCGCACGAGCAGCACAGCAGGCTGGAGGCAGAGCGTCCCGGATCGCCTGTAACTGGTGACCACAGACGCGCTTCACAAACACACACACACACACGCACGCACACACACACGCACACACACACACACACACACACACACACCGACACTATCCACAGGTTGAAATATGCTGTTTCGAGAAATCACCGTCCAGACCCTCCTTCATTTCTCTTCTTTTTTTTTTTTCTTGCGCGTTCAAAATAAATCTCTCAAAATGTACGAGTCCGTTTCAAGGAGAGCAGCGCACACGACGTCTAAAAGCTTCTTTCTTCTTTTTTTTTAGATAGGATCACGCCTGCGCATTATGAGGTGAAGATAAGACAGGTCTCAGCTACTCAACGCACAGTCAAGACGATTTGACTGGGAGCTGCAGGGCTCCTCTGTGACCAGGCGCGGAGCCTATGGGTCATTGCAGAGGGGGCGGGGACCAATAGTGGGCCCTTAAACTGTCTATAGGCTATATAGATTATGTTGTAGCCTACATAGTAATATAGTATAGCATTTATGGTTTAGTATCGGATGTATGGAGATAAAAGACGGGGCGGGACGAAGAGAAATTCTGCTGCAGATTACAAAGGGTGCTATAACAGTGACAGGGACTTATCAGTGAGTGACCTGCTGATATTTAAGCAGAACAAGTGCTGATATGTCTGTGCGCATAGTCCACCGATTAAACAAGTAAAGCAGACTTCATTATCCGGACGGGAAACCAAAGACAGAAGGCAACTACAGTTTAACATTCAGTGAAGTTGGACGCTCATCCAGCCACACAGACAATACAATAAGACCCACATTATCAACCCACGCACAACAACAAACTTTGTAAACAGTGTGACAGCAATGGCCTGCCGTTCATACAGTACGATAACCAAGCAGACACAGCGGTCTACAACACATGGACCCACAAACAAAAGACCAGCATCTAAGCGTAATCTCAAATAATGATGAAACAATTTACCAGTTAAGTTTTCATCAGCACTGTTGCTTTCCTGCAGCTAGCTGGGTGCTCCTCTCTAACATGTTTATTTGCTTGGTTAGTTTCATTTAGGTTAGTGGAGCTAGCAACGGGAGGAGACTTGCCAGGTTGAGTTGTCAATGAGAAAACATTTTTATTTAGTTTTTTACACTTTTAATGTTACGAAAAACTGCGAGGTAAACAGAAATAAAGCAGACAGACGACTAGGTTTTTAAAACTCCATACAGCAGCGAGGGGCCCAGCAAAGGGGGTGCTAAGAGGTGGAATCAATGACATTATAAACAGGCCACAGCACCCCGCTGGTGCTGTTTGCTGCCGAAGTTGAGAACCCCCTTGGCAGTGAGGGGGGCCCCTCTCTGCTCTACAAATACATTGTGTGTCTTGATTGCGGCAAAAGAAAAGAGAGACTCAGACCTAGTCAAACTAACTTTATTCGAAAATTCAACTAAATAACAAAATGCATGTTAAATTTGGCTCAAAGTGGGCCCCTTAAGACAACAGTGGGCCCGGGGCGGCCGCACCTTCTGCCCCCACACTCGCTCCGCTACTGATTCCTAACATGATTAAGTCAGTCAGTGGAAATGAGATGGAAAGAGGGCTACGAGTCACTTAAATTATGTAATGATAGTTCTAAAGGGAGAGTGCCTCACACATTCACTTTGTCGCTCCCAAGAGAGCAACAAAATGTGTGTGAGGAAAGGTAGGGAGAATAGACTGTCACAAAAATAGTATAGTAGTAATAGGCACGTAATCCTTTATTGGTGTCTGGGGGGAGTACCTCAGGGCTGGTTTTGGGACTGCTGTAGTTGTAGCACTTAAAAGTTTTATTCCACTTAGCATCGCAGCTCAACAAACACACCACAGCTCCTCTCAATTCCCCAGTACTATTTCTTTTTAAGTCTTCTGCCTTCCCTGTTCTTGCTCCTCAACAGTTTCTGTCTCTGCTTAACGATTAGCATCGAGATCCTTCAGTTTTCCTTACAGTATCCCCACCTGTTTATGTATACCATCATGGCCATTGCCCTGCCCTGATAACACCTCATTTACGTCTCGATAATTGCGGCCTCCTTTAAAATAGAATTTATCACCAGTAGAAAAAGAACATGAAGAGCCACTTAAGAGAAATCCCTTCAGTCTGATTCAGTCATTTCTGGAGCTGATGTGAACAAACACAGAGAGCTGACAACTCTGCTCTTGAGTCCTGCAGCTCATTCATGATTGCCATGCAGAGGGAGGAAATAGTAGAAGTGGAAAGGTTCTTGTGTGACCCAGAAGCCTTGGGGTTAATAGACTTATCATCATTGGTGGCAGCTCTACAAATATCTGTCCGTCTCTTTGAATGAGGAGCTATATTGACCCAGAGATGGCATCTGTTTGTGGTTTTAATGTGAGTGTCTGTGTGTGGTTGACTGTGTGACTTATTTCTTGGAGTCTCTGTGTTTGGAGAGCGGTATTTGATAGCCAGCTGGATGGTTGTGTGTTTGTGTGTGTGTGTAAATGTACATGCATCATGGGAAAGACTGTCTGAGTGTGTGTGTGTGTGTGTGTGTGTGTGTGTGTGTGTGTGTGTGTGTGTGTGTGTGTGTGTGTGTGTGTGTGTGTGTGCTTTGTAGTGCTCTCATCTGAATTCTCTTTCTGTATGCAGACTGGCAGAAGTGTCAGACCAAACCAGGTCAAGCTTGGTAAGGAACCGTGAACATAACACAGATACATACTGTTGCTTTACAGTTACACACAGCCTATTCATGTGCATTAGGTATGGTGAGGCTCATTCTGCCATTTCAGGAGAACAGTGTCTGTGTTTCGGAAACAGGGGCGTTTCATCCAAATAGTACACAGTGTCGAATCGAAAGCTTGTAAAAAAAAAACAACTGGAGTAGGTTTCTAAAGAAAAATGAAACATTGAACATTTGATAACACATTGGATATGAAGCTACAGGGATCTATGGCATTTAAGCTTTGTTTGACAAAAAGGCTAATCTATCATTACACAAAGATTACTCATATTTGGTATGTTTCTGGCTATTTGTCTATTTTCATTTGTCAAAGTAAATCTTTTTTTTTAATGCATTGAAAGCTGTGATAACATTTTGATAGTTGGTTAACAATTATGTGGTCATCTAATTCAATTTTTTGAAACTGTTTTAATTGCAAATATGGTGTTCCACATGCATGAATCCCAGAATGAAGACCCAGAATATTTCTCATATTCTGTTTATACTGTTGATAGCATTGTGTGAATTATGTGAGCAAAAAGCTCCAGCAACACTTGAAGTATAAAGATCGACTTCATCAGACTGACGCTTTTCGGTTCGTGACCTTACCCTGCTTCTACAGTGCTGTTCTCCAGATGCCATCATGATAAAGATAGGAATAATATCTTAAATTCACTACAGGAGAAACTTGGTGGTATTTGCATTACATGGAAAAAAATATGTGCATATTTGCAGCATTGGCAATCAGTCAAAGTGAGTTAGACAAGTATTATCATAACAGACACAGACAATCCAATGCCTTGCTTCCATAAATATCTCACAAGCAAAAAGGTAAATATGACATCACCAAATATCTATTCTTTCATTTTCTTTGTGTAATTTTGCTACTTTTAGCTTTATCTTGCAACTCTGTGTGGATCCCAGCTGGTTGAAAAAAAAACTCTCACATACATCCTACTGATAAAATCGAGCTCCTAAATGTATTTATCTTAATTGACTTACTGGACTAACTTGATTAAGTCATTCAATGGAAATGAGATGGAAAGAGGGCTACGAGTCACTTAAATTATGTAATGAGTTTCACTACAATTAAGTTTAAACAAGCATACAAAAGGGCAGGCACTATAGTCTAGTTACAGGTGAGTGTACAAGAATAAGTTCTGATTTTACATTCTTAGATTTTCTTTGTGATTTTCTTTGTTTTTATTTCTGAAAAATTAAACAGGCTGTTTGTGATAGATTAAACTAAAACAAGCCATACTGATCTGTTAAAAAGGTGCTTCAATCAAAGGATTCCTACATTGATTGCGTTTCAAAATAGACATACAATATTTGATTTGTCCTTACAGGAAAATAGTATAACAGAGGCCTATGAAGACGGTATTTTCTATAAATAGCAACTGTTGATTTGCAACACTCGGCTGATGACTAGGGCTTGTATCACATGATGGCAAACTCATGCGCAGTCACAAACAAACCAGCACACCACATAAACACAGTGCTAGCAACGCATACTAATCTCACCATGGCCTCCAGTCCCTAACCTTTCCCTGAACTCTGGTTTTAACAGACTTGACTTTGATAATAAAGGTTTACAGTTAATCTCTCCATTCCATGAAAACTATATTTATTTGAAAGGATCATGTCCCTAATCACCCTTCCACCCCCCCATCCCCCTATTGAAAAACCAACCATCTAGTGTATTTTTGTTGGTTTATTTATGGTCTTCTGAGAAAAAAAGATTTCATAAGCTGACTGAGATGTCTCTTGCCTCTAGGTAGCCTGATAATTAGTGAGCTCTTGTTTGAGGCTATGGTAGGGTCTCAGGCGTGAGCTAATCTGCTTTAACTCTGCACTAATTAGGATCAAGGCAAACGGCCACTTTCTCCTGGTTATTGATCAACACCCTAGGGCCAGGGAACTATGAGCTTCCTGTGAGAATAGCAGCACTGGGTTAACATGAGATGACATCCCCTCCCAATCTACATAATCCAAGTTGTGTCTTTGACATTCAATATAAAGTTCCTATTTAACATCTGTTTTTCCCCAAGTGTTGGTGAGTCTCATCTGCTATGCCTTAATACAGCCGTCTCTGTTTGTGATGGCTTCCTTGATCATTACTCTCCAACTGACTTCACCTGACACTCACATTATTCATTGTATATCTGCGTGTTTACAAGCCAGACAAGCATATCTATTTGTCTCGGTTTATCTGCTTTCTTCTTGCGCTGTTTTGGTCTCCACCAATCCCTTTGGAAAAATCTGGACCCGAAAGCAACAATGATATAGTGACATCTTGCAGGCCATTTATTGATTGCAACCAACTGATAATGTTCTTTTAACCTCCCCCTCAAACTGTGTAGGAAAATCTATTTTTGTCACCGGGGCGGCAGTAGCTCAGTCTGTAGGGACTTAAGTTGGGAACCGGAGGGTCGCTGATTCAAGTCCCAGTGGGGACCAAGTCTGGAAATTGGTCTGGAAGCTGGATAGTTGGCAGTTCACTTCCTGAGAACTGCCAATGTGCCCTTGAGTAAGGCGCTGAACCCCACCTTGCTGGGTTAACCCCCTCACTCTGACATCTTTCCATTAGTGCATGTCCATAGGATCGTGTTTGTGCATGTGTGTATGTAGTGTAGTATATCTTCTTCTAAACTCCTCGTGATGTAGAAACCCTGTTGATA